GTTTTGTTCATGTTTAGCTGTTGTAGTAGTAGAGTTAGATGCACCTATTTAGTGCATTTAACTAGCAGATTAGTTGGCAGACTCTGCCTTCAGCTATCTTAACCAAAGCTATCCCAGAGGTCGGTGGCTGAGCCCAGTTGTTTTTAGTCTCACAATCATGCTCTCTCTGGGCAGAAGCAGCACAGAAAAGAAACAGTCCTTGCTTTAGCGGGATCCATTTCCACCTATTTGCTCACATAACCCTCTCCTAGCAAGTTCTTAGTGTATTGGCTTTTTACTAAACACTGAACAAAATGAGTGCAGTTGCTTAAGGACCAAGGCCTCCTGTGGTCCAGCTTTCTGGGAGCAACTGAAGAACGTGGCAGCAATATAAAGACGCACTTTTAAAAATACCTCCTTGTCTTTTTAATGTCATTCTCAAGTCATCCCTTAGGATCTGATATTTATATCATAATATAGACTGTAGTTAAATACCTTTACAGGTTGTCTTTTGTTTTTCTGTTTATATGTAAGCTACCACAGAAGTTAGCTGATGTTCTTTTTATTTTATCTCTTCATTACAGCCACAGCAATACCTAAGTGAGCATGTATTTCCAACCAAGTCTGACAGCCTATGGCTTAAAATTGGGCATGCAGTAAAGTGCCTACGCGTATTTCTACCCCTAACAATGGACAAAATCTAACACTGTTCTTAAGGTACTGATTTCTGCTAAATGTTGGAATAGAAACTCACAGAGCTAATGGTCATTACATTTCCAGCTCCAACTTTCCAGATGCTAATGTTAGAGAAGAAAACCTCAATAAACTATGCACTTTCGGTCATTAAAAGGAACTGAAATACATTCCCCTGTCAGTAGTAGTTGCAGTTGGATGAAGAATAATAAGTAAAATACTTTTCAGCAGAGCTTTTTAATGTATTGCTTGATTGGTTTTTGAATTGGTCAAATAATAAGTTTTTATTGAATGGACTGTTTAGCCAATAAAAGACATGCCTTGTCCTATGCTACTCAAATAATTGTGTTTTATATATGCTCATGTCTGCTGCTTTTACATTTTGAGAGTAGAGTTAAGAAGGCCTTCATCTGGTAGAGTTGGATAAAGTGATCTAAAGGGATATAAATGTGTGGACAAACCATCTTTTCTGAAAACAACCATATTTCACTTGAAAATTTCCAGTGTGATACAGCTCCTGTGAACTCGCCCGTCTGTAAGACCCCACTCTTTAATCTTGAACCTCAGTGAATTCAGTCAGAGGCAAAGACCTTAAAGACACTAAGACTCTGAAGTTATGTGAAATGGCATCAGGTAGGGGAAGATGTGAGTGGTTTCCTGCCAGGAGAGATAGACAGCTACACCATGAGCATAACTTGTGCTAATCTCAGAAGAAACCTATTTGGGAAAAAGTGTTTAGAAATACCCTCCTCACAGGGTAATCTTCAGAGCTTACACTTTCTGAGAAACTAAATTGCCTTGGAGATAGAAATCTGTAGGAAACCTACCTTTAGTTTCAGTCTTCACAAATGAACTTTTTTCTAAGAAAACACATTTTTACAAAAGAGGAATATGCCAGAAAGCAAACTGAACACAAGGCAAACATGGCAATATTCCTCTTTGTTAAATTAGCTAATGCTGAGTGATTAGTACTATTGTTCAACTCAGCTGTTAACTCTTAGCTGATTTCCTAGTGCTTAATTCACAGATAATTTCAAAGAGATTTATGCATGAGCTGAGAGTTAAACGTAGACTTAAATGTGGTATTGACACAGGCATTGTATAGGCATATATTTAATATGAAATATTCTGAATCCAGGCTTCAGCAACATCTTTAAGCACACTGAAGTTGAAGGGATTACTCACACTCCTACAGAACCCTGCAGCCTCGAGCACCATGTTGAATTATGGTGTAGTAAGGGATCAGTATGAGTCTTATCTCTGAATTTACCAAGTGGGTTGAACCACTGAATTCTGGCGGTGTTGAAGGAAGCCTCAATCAGTTAGTTCTTGTCTGCATCTGGCTTGGCAACCAGTCAAGGGGAACAACAGCGCTCATTTCCTATTCATGTATTATGCACAATTTGCTTTGAATACCTTGTTTATTCTAACACAAAGGCTATATTTTCATTTCATTTTGGTACTACATTAGTGGGAAGACATGAGAATTGAGGACACTACTCAACTATCGAGCCACAGATCAATAGACAAAAAGTTTTTAAATGGCTTTGAAATGCCTACATTGATAAAGCTATATCCATTATTCTTCTCTCTGCTACTGGGGTAGAAATAATAAATATTTTAAGAATCCCAAAATAGATGGAAGTAGTAATATTGACTAAGCAGAAACTGTTTGCCAGGAGATTAGGCTTTAGTTGGTAGGATTTAAATATGCCTGGCATGTCAAAGCAATGTGACAAGCCAGTGTTTTCATAATGTTCTGCGTCTACCTCATAACTTGTTGTGAAAGGATGATGACTGTTGCCAGCTTGCTTTGTTCTTATTAATATTTTTGAAGATAAGAAAGTGAAATGGCTCCATTTCAGGAATTAAGTAATTTCTTTGTGCCAAAATACTGACAGGAACTCTTGGTGCGGGAAGATAAATTAGAGTTCTGACTCCTGCATCACAAAAAAGAAGTCAACATTGTTTGAAAGGAGCTTTGCTGTTCAAGCTGGTGTTACTTCTTTTAACATTGCAAATGTGAATGTCAAGTGAGTTTTCTATGTGAATTTCTGTAATACGAAATGAAGCAGACTGTTGAACTCAGGCACTTTGAAGCTCTGATTTTAAAAGTCAGGGATAATTTTAGGGAAGGGGAAGTCAGAAGAATCAGCAAGTGGAACACGCGGACCTCAGTCAATATTGTAACGTCAGCTGTATAGCACTATTTGCAGCCCATGTCTAATGGGATATTTGCCTTGTTGTCTTTGTCACTGGTTATTCCAGCTCCTTCAAAACTGCACTTGCAATGCCTTCCCCTCCCTTCATGTAGATGGTATTTGAACCCCTAGTGAATAGCTCTCTATCCACCTCCATTCTAATCCAAAAAGTCAGCCTTTCCTATGGGTCCAAAATGGCAAAACTCCCACCCAGGCCCTTACCCAGCACAGCAACAGCAGTAGCCTCCTCGTAGTACACCTCATGTGGACCAGTTTTCTCCTGAGCTATCCTGGTCCAGACACTTCTGTCTGTTTCTTGCTTTATTCCTTTGACCTGGACACCCGTGTCCTTATGCTGGTTCTTTCTCTGCTGCAGTAAATACATTTGTTTTCTTACTAGGACAAGACCCTTTGCTGTTTAGTTGAGTTCTTCCTATTAGGACCCATCTTCTATTACCATGCTGGTGTATGTGTTACTTGTGCCTTTGCTTTGGCAGCAAGGCCAGCCCTTGTGCCCTCTGTGCCAGATGGATACACAGGGTCATTTTCCACCCTCCTCTCTTCCAAAGCCCTTCTCATGGTGGTTGCCCCTGGTACTCTGCTCGCTGATGACAGTAGGTAGAAAATGGATGGTGTCCATCTGGGGCTTCAGTTGCTCTTCTGCTCTTTGCCTGTACTATTGCTTGGTTGACTACTTTTTACCATCTTCCGTATATTCATCTAGGATTGAGAGCTCTTTGAGCAGAGACTGGCTATTTTGAAACTCCTGTGAACACTGTAAGGCTTGATCTGTGATTGATGCTTCCAAACTGTGCTGTGAGGCTGTATCAACATGCCTTACCTGATGGAAAATACCGCTCGCACACGAAGGAAGTGACATGAAAGTCACGACCAAGGTGAGAAGTGAAACTGTTTATTATAGATGACTCACAGGCAAACAGAAAAACTAGCCGTCAGCACTTCAGAAGGGGAGTCATTGCAAACTTTCATTCACCTCTTCACCTTGCAATAATACTTACATCACCTGTAGTTATGGGCCAGTCCCTTTGCGTCACTTTGCACACCTTGGTCTGTTTCAACTGAAAGTAGTTCTTCAAACGGGACAAGTTCCTGGGCAGACATGGTTGAGACCATGAGCAGGAATTCATTTACTTGCAAAGAATGCATGTTGAAAATTGGGGAGTGTAGTCCTTTGATTTTCCATTTTAAACAGAGATACAACAGACATCAAAGGAGGATGCAATATTGCTGGGAAATCACATATTAAATAGCTCTTTAGTGGAAAAGTGCTGTAATTCCTACCATATCTCACCAAAAAAGCAACAGAAAGCATATAAATATATCCTATATACACAAACAATACGACACAGCTGTCTTGTAAGCAGGGATTAGTAGCAGGACACTGTTATAGAAACAGCACATATTTTCCCTTGAGAAACTTAAAACCCCACAAATTTAGTCCATTCAGGGCCACAGAGAAACAATATGCTGCTTATGCTTGTTTCCTTTCCTAGTTGCTGAGAATGAAATTTTACAAACCAGGTTTCTGTACATTTTCCATTTTGTTTAAAAACGACAAAGTTCTCAGATCAGCATCCTTTTTTCCATTAAAAAAAAAAAAAACTAAATGCATTCCTCTCCACATTTACATTTTTATATTTCCCTTGCTTTGTTGAACCAGATAACATGAAGTTATTTTCACTCTTCAATGCAAGAGAGTAATTGATGGAGCAATACTGTTGTTAAGTACTTTAGAAAGGGTTTTAGTAGAAAAACACAAGAGATTAATCTTAAACTAGTTCAATTTAAACAGTTCCATGACAACAGCTGGGGACATAACTTCTGGGAAATGTGGATGCAAATTCAGACTGGAAGATAAGATTCAGTGAAATCAATGAGTTGCAGCTGCTGCATCTGACACAGACACTACTACATCTAGCAACATCTTTTTAGATCAGAGGCAGACTGAGCCCTAAGATAAGCAGCTATCGATCTGTCTTATGGCAAGCTGCAGCTGGACATTAGGTGGCAACTGAGTTCTTCACTGCTCAACTTGCATTTTCTTATTTGTCATTTTAATAGTGATTCCTGTGTCATTCAGATGGCCTTTCCCCTCCCATACACTACCTGTGATTGCCAGCTGTGTAACGAAGAAGGTCATTCGAGATTTCCGCTTCCTCCTCCAGGTAGAGAAGAGCACAATGGCATTTCCAGCAATTGTGACAATAAAGAGAATCCAAAGAGTCACCAGCTGCTCTGTCTGCATTGGAGAGAAGGAAAAAAAGCGTATCAGTAGGTGGGTGGGTAGTGACTTGGGTTAAACCAGTCAGTATCCTAGGACAAATGAGATGAGAGTGGAAAAAAGGAGTGAAATGTGAGTTTTGCCAATTGATTTCTAATTATTTAGCCTAAAAGATATTCTTGTTCTTTCAGAAAATACTTAACATACATCACTGCTGGTGATGTTCATTCCAGTTTGATTTGCAGTGGCTGTATATTACTTCTATCTTCACAAAACAGTGTCTGTGTTCGGCACTTAACACTAAAATGAGAGGCAGCCCTCAGTTTTCTCGGTTTGCTCCAGCAAGCTGTGAAATAACCAGCTGCCTCACTTTGTAAGCAATATTGATAGATGGGGTCCTTCGGAGAAATGGGGGAAATAAATACTTCTCTCCTTCCCAGCTCCAGTGAGTCTGGGTCATCCACAAGCCCTACGAAATTCAGACATCCACTCCATGATCTAGATGGGCACCAAGATTGAAGAGAAAGCATGACCCACTGTAAGGAAAAGTAAAATTGTGTAGCGAGCAATACGTGATGACAAAACGTCCCCTAGTGGTAGTGTGTACAAAGAAAAGAAAGTAAGAAAAAAAGTTATTTGCATTCTCAAGACATCAGGATCCTCTGGCTGCAAGAACAAGGGCATACGTATCTACTTTTGCTTGTTTTGTGAGTGCACGCACAATCTTTGCCCTCCTTTTGGCCTACCAAAACCCATTTGGTCCTCTCTAGATGCAGGATAGTTATTTTTCAGTGGCAACTCTGTAGGTTTCCCCTTGCCATGTGAGAGTGTGACGTTTATGTTTTCTCCATAGCAGCCCAGCTCTGAGCCTGAGAAGCACCAAGTCTGGTAAGCATGGGGTCAGCTTGGAGAAAATACTCAGCATTTCTGCAAAATTCTCACTTATAAAAACCTGTCCTGTGTGAAGCTGTGTGTAGTGGCATGGAGGAAGATGGTTCTGCTGCTCTTCTGCAAAGACAAATAGAAGAGAGGGCATTTTTCACAGTAACAGTTAGGTTTGAAGGGCATAGAGCAGGGGAGTTCAGGAGAAAAAAAATCCTAATGTATCCAGCAGCAATAGTTTACACATTATTGTTAGAGTCAAAGAGAGAAAAAATATATATATGGCTCAGCAGAACTGCTAGTTATAAAGGTAAACCCAATTTCCATAAGGGACCCCTCTCCCAGAGCCTGCTGCTCCTGAGCAGACCCTTGCCTTTGATGTTTCAGGAGGAGACAGTCCGTATGAATGAAATACAGAAGAGCCTTCAGCCCCCTGCTCTGCCTTCTTGTGGCTTTCCAATGTTTCAGATGAATTGCTTGCCTGGATTCACATCCTAGCAACTGGGATGAGTTTTGGTTTACGTCAATGCAGTTGTTTGGTATCTCCCAGTTCCTGACACCAAACCCATAGTGTGGGAGCTAGTGGAAAATGGAGGAGACAGGTAAGGGCTGCAGTGGAAGAGGGATCCCAGCTGCTGGCCCTATAGAAGTGACCCCAAGGCACTGTCCTGAGCAGGTGGGGGGAAGGAGGTTGTCAGTGAGACCTGTGCCTACCTGACCGGGCTGATGATGGAACAGAAGGGGGGGGAGAGCACTCATTAAAAGCATTTGGCAGCCACTAACCCATGACTTTGTCAATGGGTGAGCGGAAACCAGGGCTCCTGCTGCCCACAAAGAGAAAACGTTTCAGCTGTGAGCGTGGGGAGGGAAGGTGAAATGGCAGGAAAAGAGCAGGGGCAAGGAGCTTCTTGCTCTGCCATGAGCTTTAGTGCCTCCCTCCTGGCCAGCAGCCATGGTCCCTCCTCTACTGGGGAGCCACTTGTGGGAACCAGCCTCAACTTTGCTCCAGGTAGGTAGCCACGCTACCCGTGGGTTATGGGGGCATGCAGGAAAGGCAAGACCCAGCGTATGAGCAATTTCAGGCTGCGCTCTGTGCCTGAACCCAGAGATTAGCTTAAGCATACAATGAAGGCTGTGTTTAGACAGTTTCACTTTTCCCAGCATGATAACTTTTCAGCAAAATCTACCATTTGGGTCATCTCACCTAACTTTAAAGCTCTGAAGAGAGACAACTACTCTAAATTGTCATAGTATAGTCTAGATAATAGCATTATCTCAGAGATGAGTCACCATTCATCTCACCTACCTTGGGATGGCCTGTCTCCACTGATTATACAATGACCTAGATAAGGCAACTTGTGTGGGCTGGATGATTAGCTTTTAGACAAAAACAACTCCACTTCTTTTGGGTGTCTGCAAATCTCTTGAATTTCTTGGAAACAAATTCCCTTCAAAATGTGTGGCAGAGACATGGTGGAACTATTTTTATGGGGATGCTTTGCTTTGTACAGGAATTGGAAGGAACTGTCTTTTTGGAAGGTAATTAAAATTGAAAAAGGTAAGATTTCACATAATTTTTGTCCTTGAAATCAGTGGGTTCTCCTCAGGGTTTGGTTTGTCTTTTCCATTTCAGAAAAGGTCTTTCACACATGAAGAAAACTGAAGGGCAAGACTTGTTCCCATTTTCTCTTATATAAAATCAGGAGAGCATCTTCTTGAAAGAAATTCTGGGTACGAACAGAACAAGGATCTGACACTCACACCTTCTGATGATTCTCACAGAAGAAATAGCTATGGAGCAACAAAGACTGTGTTAGAGGGGTGTTTCCCCACCATAGGGGTGCAGCACATATGGTCAGTTTAAACGCCCTCCTGCCAAGTTAAAAAGCAGTGCTTAACAGTTAAGCAATTTTAAGCTAAGCCTCTACGGACATACAGAATTAAGCCAGACTACAAAGATAACCTAAAAGGTGCAAAAGCTGAATTTAGGAGAGGTCAGTTTGAAAGGACATAGACAAAGGAATAAAGCCAAAGTTTCTATTAATCTATTTGTGGTAGCTGCCATTCAGAGAGAAGAGAAAAAGATCTCATTCTTGAGGATTAAGGAGCTATAATAATAGGCACCTTAAATCACTGCAGCCTCTCTCAGTCTGTGTTAGCTTGCAGAACGAAAACTTCTGTGATTATTAATGGGATGCCCACCGTGATAAAGGCCTTCATGGAGGCTAGGATTAGAATTCAAAATGATCTTGATGAATTGGAAACATGCATTGGAAAAAAAACAAGATGCTCTTCAACAAAGGAGAAATGCAGAACTCTACAGTGCAGTCGGTATAGTCTCATCGGGTTGGGCGAGCCTTCAAACATCCCCCCTCTGCAGACAGCACGTAAAGTGCCCCACAAGTGGAACATGATTTAATAATGTCACTCTACCATGACAGCGACAACCACCATCATGGGATCGACACTAGTCTCATGTGCCTCGGCTCTAATCCTTCCACTGTACCCAGCAGCTGTACTATGCCCACTCCTGGGCATAGACTGACGTAAAAAAGGAAAAGAATAATCTCTTCTTCAGATCCACTGAGTTGACAGCAGTCTAGAGGATAGAGCCAGGCGAAAAGACTGAATGAAGTTGCTTAATCTAGCAAAAAGTGGACTGCAGGAAAATATGAACGTAGCCTTGAAGACACAAAAAGACTGACGTAAAAAAGGAAAGGAATAATCTCTTCTTCAGATCCACTGCAGACTGGCCAAAAATCAGTGAACCAAAACTGCAGCACAGAATTCAGGTTGATAATTTTTAAAAATTGACTTAAAAATATATCATATCTATATACATTGATTGAGCCAGTGAAACCTCCATCTGTGAAGGTCTTAAAAACAGCTATTAGATTAGAGAGATAGCTGATTGATCCTTGAACTTGACTCCAGCTGCACTTCCTATAATTTTGTTTTATTCATCACCTTAAGGTTGCTTAGACATAGAGGTGTTTCATTTCGTGTCTTGTTTGTTCATCAAGCAAAAATCCTCTTTGGAAACAACCCTCAGCAAGGTAATTTACAAAAAACATTGTTTAGTAACATGTTACGCAGACACCAGAGGCATTCTGGATGAAAAGAAAGATAATATCTCCCAAACCCCTGCGTAGAAGCTTTTGGCAAGGGCTGCTTTTGCAGTGGGCATTGCTAACTACATTACATGAGAATGCTGTGAGAGAGATTAGTGTCATACACCAGTTCTTTTAGATTAGAAAAACTGAAGACTAAGGTCCCAGAACAAATCAAAGTCAAGAGGATTTCCTTGGCTTGACTACAACCATTGCATGTGCTGCTATTCCACAAGACTGCTGTGTTCAGAGCATGGAAGTGCTTGACATCTGCAGCGCATATTCATGTTTTGCTAATTTGCTTTAAGATTAAAACCAGCTTTAGTCAATGAAGCAAGCCTCTTCATGGGTGAAATGTAAGCCAAAAAACCTGTCTGAAGATTGTGTGCATTTTCCTTTGCTTGTAGAAGACGCTTGTTATTTTGTCTCTCTGACAAAATTTCCGAATCCATAGGCTGCAATAAGTCTAGGCAAGAACTGTATTCTGCTTTATATTTGAGACAAAGATCATCCCTGCGAGCAGCTTGAATCACAACCATAGTTAAAACCTTTCAGAGCCATTGGGAGACATTTTGGTGCCAGGATGCCATCCTTCCTTCCAGTTCTCCCCAGCCAACTTCCTTGCTCACTCATTTCTCAGGATTTGTATTCTCTCTGTTGGGGGCCACCAGCTGTGGCTGTGGAACAGGGATATACCTGATAGCCTATCCCAGTGAAGGTGCTGTTGCTCATGTCTTGAGGTGCAGAAGCCTTTGCCTGATATCAGAGCAGTTGCCTAGTGGAAGGAGATGTTCAACTATTAATGGACAAAGCATGTTTGTACTTGAACGGGAACCCAACATGAAACAATTTTGTTCTAGCTGCTGAGGCTGGTTGGGAAACAGCCTGGAAAAATAGGTTGCCAGGTCAGAAATCAACAAATAAACAGAAAAAGACAAGGAGAGGTACTCTGTTCCTGATGTGACTGGCTGACCTCTTAATGTGAGGAGGCCTGTAGTGAATTCATGTCCTTGCTGACCTGGTGCC